TTTCCCTGATCTTAGTTTTATTTGTGAGGAACAATGCTGCATTTAAAGATCATGTGGTTTGCTCTATGGGTAATCTGAAGCTGTTACCTGACTTGTCCTCCCATTTTCAGGCAATTTTTAGGAGAGCGACATTAAATGAGATGATCAGAGATTATGATCAAGCAGCCAGTGATCTACGGAGAATAATCGACATTCTCGGAAAGAAATGTGATAAAGAGGCAAAATCTTCAGAGAAATCTGCTGGGAGTGCAAGCAGTATGAAAGAACTAAAGCAAGCACGGCAGAGATTGACTGCGATGGAAGAGGAACTCAAAAAGGGCATTCCTCTGGATTTCTTTCTCATCCTGTGAGCTTGTTTCTGTCTCATATACCGTTCCTATTTCAGATTAATATGGCATAATATTCTTCTTCATTCCGTCCGAGTATAAAATATATTCTGATATCAGGGTCACTGCTATCTCGTGTTAATTTGCAGGGGAGTTAAAAAGTCTGATACTGCTACTGATATCAAAAAGGCATATCGAAAAGCAGCACTCAGACATCACCCGGATAAGGTTTTATCCGTCCCTTACTTGCTAACTCTGTACTTATCTCGAGACTGTGGTTTTCCCACTACTGATTTTTACACTTCCTTCGACTAAAATGTGGAATTTAGAGTGGGCAGATTCTTGTTAGGGGCGAAAGTGAAGGGCAATGGTTGAAAGAGATTATACATGAGGTTCACAAAGATGCTGACAGGCTCTTCAAAATCATCGGAGAGGCATATTCAGTCCTTTCAGACCCAACTAAAGTTGTTATCACATTCCCTCCTTTCTAGCCATTTTTAGATCTCTCTTGCATGCAGTCACTTTCTGTCCTCTTTGGCATGGAATACTATCCTACTATAAACTAGGAAACCCACCATTCTAGGACTTGATGCTTAGGAAAGGAGATTCAATCAAGTTTTCTTTTGACAGAGGTCGGAGTACGAAGCCGAGGAAGAGATGAGGAAAGTGAGAGCATCTAGAGAGGGCAACAGAAGCAGAGGAAACAGGAAACCCGACTTTTCGTATGAGAGAAGTCCTAACAGACGAAACTGGAGGGATAGCAGAAGAAACTACGGAAACGTGCCTGAATGGTGGTAGAATTCTCGAGGAAACTTAAACGGAAAATAAGCATATACTGTAATAGTTCCCAGCAGAACCTTCTCGGACGAGATTTTTGGAGAGCGGTAGAAGTGAACCCGAATCATTGGGTAATGGATGATGCTCCTGATGCAATGATGTTCAGGACATTGCCCTCTGTAACCTGATACAGTCAGTGCTCACGATTCTTTCGTGGGTTTGAACAGACAGATATCTCCTTTGTATTGTTTGCTTAAGACAGGAAATGTTTTGTACTTTGCAGTGGGTATAGTGGAAAACCAAACAAAGGTTGGAGAATTAGTAAGATCTTTATGGGTTTCCTGCAAAAAAAGGTTAATTTATATGTTTATGACTATGTTGAATCCAAGTAGCAAGCCCATGGTCCAGAAAGATGCAAACTTTCCCCACAAATGTGTTCTCATACTGAAACATGGATTCAACTACTCATAAGCTCCAACATACTCATACCCAAAGAAAACAAGTTAAAAGACCACCCCAAGCAACAAACATTTATAGCCAATTTCATATTTGCTAAAACGTTTTTCAAGACCTGAAAATTCTTGTGTCAAGACCATATACACCAATCTAGAAAACCAGTAGGGTGTCAAATACGAGTCTCGGTTCGTTTGTCAACCAGATCGATCTCTCATCTGAGGATCTACTCATGCGGATGCATTTCTGTTAACGCTTTAAAAATGGTATGCTTCCATTCTTCTGTAAATGTCAATATATAACACACACAATATAATGAAACATAATTCACTTCTGTTTCATAATGATAACTGCAAAAATACAAAGCAAACATATACATCGTTTCTAAAACTTTTCCTTTCATTACATTCACACTGTATAATATATTATATTACATCATAAGTCTATATATATATATATATATCGGACA